AATTTTAGAACGGTAAATCTTATGATTGCGATCATTTAATTTAAGAAGATGCCAATGAAGTCAATCACGAAAGAGCGTACTTATCTGTTCGAAAAGCTGTGTTTACGGGTCGGAGAAAGATGCAAACATGCAGCATATGCGTTCGAGGTGTTCCACTTTAGAAAACTTCACGTGAAAGCAATACGTGAGCTGACGGCGGTCACTCTAAACGAATGCCTGAATGCGTGTCTCGACAATTCGAGGTGTTTTTCGGTCAACTACGTCCGATCTGACAGGTATGTCATCCGCACAACCTCAAGTCTCAATTGACGCATAAATAGATTAAAATGCATAGTTCGATTGAATGTAAAAGACGATATTCGATATGATATACCTAACCGGTACCTAGTTAGGCATGCCTATCGTAACAGCCGATTACGTTCAGCAATTTTAGCAGGTTGTCGGGCTGACATGCACTGTAACTAACTGTTTTTAATGCTCAACGAGGATGTTTAATGCTTTCTAAGGCAGTCACCGATGGCTCATAATGTTTTATGAAATATAAGTGAGATGTCTTGACATTTTTATGTTGATCGTTGATACATCATAGACGACAGTGGTAATTTTGTGGTTGTAAATGTTTTCTGAATGATTGGAGAATGAAACCCTCTCTACACTTCAGGTTTTGTCAAATCAATCAAGTGTCACATCGAACGGTATCTGGTCAATTTAAAAAAAATCTCAGAACTAGTTATTATGAAAACAATTGTGTTCATGGTAGGTTCTTGCAGCGACCGTTTGTTACAAGATGGTTCTGCCTTTACTGAAGCCATTTAGTGATGCTCACATTCCATTAACTGTTCTTTTGCCGTTCGTCCTTGCGTCATAGCAGATTTAAAATTCGTAATACCGAAACAATGCCCATCAGGACGATTCAAAAAAATGAATGGTAGAATAAAACAGAAAAGACATTCGGAAAGACAGCGGAACAGAACAATTTTGCGGAAATGTGAAACTGGGACATTCATCCAACTTTGATCATCAGTTTTGATCACTTAATCCAACTTTGATCATCATCAATGATAACTGAATTATAGAGGAGGATCGATGTGGTGATAAGAGAATTGAATACGTGATGTCAAGAAATCACGAGGTTTTGGGTAAGGACATTTCGGTGGGCATCCACGATATTCGTACTTGTATGCGAGAGTGCATCGAATCATCGATTTTATTCTGCAGGTCAACATCTCATCAAAACTTCTTTCTTTTGCTCGCCACGAGTGTGGCTACACTTTGACGAATTGATTTCACAATGGCAGTTTCACATGGAATGTATTTACTGTCACTTTCATGCACATTTCCTCGGACTTGCGACCAATGCTTAGGGTTAATGGCTCGTAGCCTTTCCTCTCTCATCGTGGTCATCGTTCCATCAAAACTACGAATCAAAAGTTCTCATCGCAAGCAGCTATTCGTTGGAATTGATCAGACCTGTACAGGGGCATACTTCCTTTCTTTAATTTTCATTTTGCAAGCATCAGTCACGTTCTCATTTCTTTCTAAGTGTCTCATTTGCAAGTATCATTAATCAGCGATTAGCAAGTATCTCAAAAGCAGTTAGGCACGATCTTAGATATAAGGTGGCCACTGAACGATGAATTGAAATCAGTTGTTTGTCCGAAAGGGGCGTGGGAGTGCAGAGGCTGCACCCTTACCCCTCGCCCCTCTCGTGGAAGGTTGAAGAAGGGATAGATACACCCTAAAAATCAGCTGTTGTTTGGACCGGACCATTTTGCGCTCTCCCAGCCGTCTGCTGGAAAATTCATAGCTATGCAACTGATTGAAGTGTTTATTATTGAGTTACGTTTCGATATTCAGTCTTTTTAAGGTCGTTTGAATTCGATACAACAACCAATGAATGCTTCATTTCTGAGGAGGATTCTGCTCTGGCCACTCCGTCAGGTTACATTTTTAGTCAACTTAGAGCATGATGCTAGACACCGAAAGCAATCGTATGTTCCTATTCTGAGCGCAGAATACCCCAAATAAGAGACACTATTGCTGATTCTCCATATTTTGCGATCCAGAAAGTATGCATCTGCCGACAAAATATTCTAATTATCAAATATTCTTGGTCCCCCATTCAGCCAGAAGTCATTTTTATGTTAGCGAGCTCAAGGCGGTGTTGCTTCCTATGCTGTGATGTGTTCTGGAGCAATGGTAACCCGTTATCTGTAAGCATAACTAATTAGAGCCGTTGAGCAGTTGCTTTTTCTGAGTTCGGTGGAAAAAAAATATTCTGATGGTGAACTCTATTTCTAGCAAATCGAGATCTGTATGAACCAGTGTGCCTGGATC